TCAGATTGATGCTTGCAGTGGGTGGAACGGAATGAAGGCACGCAGAGGAAAATGCGAAGTGTTCCGATGTCGTTGGCATTGGCACCGATGCACTTATTGCAGTTTGCACGCGTGTGTGGATGCTCCAGGAATTGTGACAACAAGGACACAGCCCCGTGCTGATTCCGAAGGCACCGCTGAACTATGAGAATGATCTTAGCGGCGCTTCAGCTGCGAGAAGAGTTACAGTTCCAACTTTTACACCGAATTCGTCCATCTGGCGCGACATATGACACAGCGGATAACAATGCACTCTAGAAAGTCATATTGAAGTTCGAATTGCCTAGTAAGACCACTTCATGATGGCTCGCGTCAAGAACACCGGGGCAATCTCAGAGGTATTCGGGGTGAAAAATGTGATGAAACAGGGCTGCGTACTTGCCCCCATCCAATTTTCCCTCATCAAATTCTCCGTCCTGCTAGCGAATGCCCACCGTTAGCACCGGAAGGGGATTGGCATCAAATGCCGAACCGATGAAGAGCTACTCAACATTCGACCACTGAAAACATCTTCGGCGGTATCACGAGCGGTTGTTTGCCGGTGACTGTGTGTCAAGCACTACAACGGAAGAGGACACGCATCGGAGTGTGGACCCCTTCACTTCCTGATACTTCAACATCTGCCTGACCATCAGCACTGTGAAGGTAGTGGTCCTGAAACAACTGGCGCCAGATGTTCCTCACACCGAACCCCATGTCAGCGTCAGTGAAATTCCCCTCATGGCAGTGGAGAAATCCGCATACCTTGAAAGGATGATTTCAAGAAACCTCAAACAATTCCAGTGGGCCAAATCAGCCAATTTCGTAGCCGGCTGAATAGCCTCTACCAAGGCAAAAAAGGAGAGGACCGCGAGACTCAAGTGTAAGGGATCGTCTACTCAAGCACCCAATGGCTGCCATCTGGCCTATATAGTCAACAAACTTTTTAGGCAAAGATTTGCCACCACGCCCAACATCCTCAGTGAAGATACTTCTGAATCGCCCGTCAGTCTGTTTGGCTACTTACGGATTCATTGTACTGAAACCGACGAACTAGTAGATGGAGCCTCGAAATACACCCATCACTCGCGCCTAACCTCACAATACTACCCCAAGGTCACTCGGCTATCACATGGACCTATTCTTTCATATGCACATCCGCTTAAATTACCACTAAAATAACACGGTCCAGTCCTCATAACGGTTTCTCACTCAACCTGCCCACGCACACACATCCCTATAGGCTACACGTGAGCCTACTCCACAACACACGCGTACACGACGCCCCGAGATATAAGCAAAAGAGCAAGGTCGGGTAAGGAGTTGAGAATAAAGGAAGACAAGAGGTGGAACGAGAAATTTGTCTGCCTGACGCGTCGAGCTCACTCCCCAACCCATCACCAGAGACCGCAACCGATAAAGGTAGTGGGCGCACATAGGATGCTTTTGCAATACAACCATCTACCTATTAGGCGCAATTTCGCCGGTCGACAAACTCATGTTGATAGTCCCAGAGGTGACCTTGGTCGAGTGTACGGTCTTCTGAGCGTGCGCAAAGACGACGCTCCGCTTTAAGACGCTCGAAAACATGCTGACAAAATGGCGGTCTTGACATCTCGAATTATTGATCGCTGATTCAGACTCCACGATCACTTCGTCAACACAATTATTGAAGAAATTTAAAGGAGAACATCTCCTGCCAAAGGATGTCACGGTAGCTGTAAATGCAACTGTCATACAATGGAGCGGAATTTCACCTAGGGCATGCCAAAATCCTCGAATTCCTGAATTTCTGTTACAAGACATGTTTCAGGCTTGACGAACCATCTTCGGGCAGGCAAAAGTTATGCCAGGGATTTCAAGGCTCTTAGCCGAGACGGTCCCGCAGCGCTTGGAGTCTTTGCTCTTCTAATGCCACAGACTAAAATTCTGGGCTTGGTATATGGGTAATCTCTTCGTCCTCGCTGAACATGATTAAGCGCTGACTTTCAAAGTGCAACTTAATGCTGTCTTCCTGAAGGAAGGAACAACCAGCCGAGCTTCCCTGATGTCTTCGTCGGCCTTAAAGATTGTCGTGACCTGAAAACCAAAGTGTTCATGGGGGCGACAAATACGGCGCAAGTACTGGACTTCAGCCGTAACAACCCAATTAATCAGGGGGTTATACCGGTAGCATGAGGGGGAGCGTAGTGAAACCGAAGGCAAGGTTATAGAATCACAATATCTTCGAGAGGTGCTTGGAGCGAATGGCCACCTGCTCAAGTGCGCAAACGATATGAGAAACCAAATCACACCGACCCCAAATTTGGTAAGCGCTTCACCATGCTAGGAACACCTCAGTAGCCGTCAGACGCCCTTTCGCATCACTTGACGCAGGGTTACACAAAAACTAGAGTTAAAATGTCGAAAGACCAGCTGCCAAAGCAGGAGATGGCTGGGGTCGTTTAGTGCCGCTGTTCTAGATAAAGCCATTACGTCGCAGAAAATAGGAGACTTCGTCTGACGCGCGGGAAGAATGCGCAGCAGTGAGGTAGAATGAGGCTAATTCTTGAGTCGCGCCTCCAGACTTGATGATGCCAAAATTCTCACGAGTGACAACAGCTGCGTGAGTCGGGAGCTACCTAAGTTACGTTGCTCCTGACCTTTGTCAGTTAAAAGGCACAGTAACTTTCATTCTCCATATTCAGTGCCAAGGCGGTCTGGAAAGGGTACGTGGCCATATGGGGAGCCCATGAGCAAAAGGCACTCCCACTGACAGTATCGGCAAGCCAAATGGCTGAGTTAGTGACAGTTCGACCATCGGTTTCGATGATGTCCACCGTGTGCCCCACAGTTGCAGCAGCAATGGGAGCAGGGACGGTGACTTACACAGGGGTTTATAGTGCCGGTAGACTTGCGTAGCATCTACCTACACTCTCTCCTCCTCCCTCGCCCAAGCCCGGTGTCAAGACAGAGTCAAGAAGACCGGAGACGAGGGAGGCCGCAGGTGGATGGCTCGGACGGATCCTCACCTTGGCGTTCCACCACACCCCCTGGTCCACACAACAAATGACCAGGATTTCAACCAACACAACAGAGATTTGGAGGCTGGCACGGCCGAAGCCGCACCTGGGCGTGCCGCCAACAACTGGCTCGGATCCCACACTGTGATGGGAGTGCCATAAAGGCCACATTAAAAAGGAGCCATTGCAGCCTGACTCTCAGACCGCCTCCGGTCAAGGAGGAGGTCCAAGGTACCCCGTCAGTTGGCAACCTTCCAAGCCACGGTTTTTAACGCACCGTGATAGCTTTAAGCGCGTCAGATTGTTTATAGTGAGGAGAAAGTGCGCTGAGTCGTCGACCTCACTCTCCCTTCCCACTCCCACACCCCAGCCGCTGTCCGAGCCGGTCAGCAGACTGGAGTGGGGAATGGGTGCGGTGGCTGTCATGGTCGACTGACCATGACTGCGCGCGCCACGGCACGACCTGACCCCCCATACACACAACACCAGGATTTCACACAACGGGGGTTGAACGGCGTGTCTCTCACTTGCGTGAGAGTGCCGTGGAAGGTGCTGTTTCAACCCGTTCCTAGCCCACTAGTCCGCCACTCCGCACAACACACACACCCACAACGCGACGAACTGCGTGAACCGAGAGCGGGCGTCAATCAGCAACCTTCCTATCCACGACGCTTGACGTGTCGGGATAGTCTCGGACTCAAATCACCCGTGCAGCCGAAGCCGCATGGGGACCGAGTCGAAATGCGGACTTCCCACTGAGTTAGTGGCACGCCAATAATAAACATTATGGCGTAAATTGCGGTAATTGAAATTTCGGAAGCAGAGGACCGAACGATCATCATATCAGAACAAATCCGCAGCGGCGACCAATGAGATAGCTGGAAATTATGATGGTGGTTCGATTGTCTATAACGAAGATGTGTTCCGCAACAAAGTGAGATCAGGAACAGTGAATTGCACGTGATTTCTTTGATAGTGATAGTAAAATTGCGTTGCGCCTACCGTGCTCACCCCATCCTTTTATGCCCCGTGTCGAAGAAGAGACAAAAAGACAGGAAAGGGCGCATGTGGCTGGCGCGGCGTGAGCCTGCCCCTTGGCGTTCAGTCTTATGATTCGTAGACCTGACGAAAGCCATCGACACGGTGAATCGTGAAGGACTGTGGAAGATAATGTAGAAATTCGGCTGCCCGAATGATTCATCAAGATGGTGCGTCAGCTCCACGACGGTATGATGGGACGCGTCAAGGACAATGGAGCTGTCTCAAAGGCATTCGCAGTGACCAACGGAGTGAAGCAGGGATGCGTCCTGTTGCCCAACCTCTTAAGTCTTGTTTTCTCTACCATAGTGATGGACGCCTACCTTGATGAACGCCTCGGGATCCGCATCGACTACAGGACGGGCGGCCACCTCCTCAATCAACGGCGAATGCACTTCCAATCGCGCGTATAAACAACCACTGTTCACGAACTTTTCTTCGCTGACTACTGCGCTCTGAACACCACCTTGAAAGAGGACATGCAACAGAGATTGAAACTCTTTTCCGTCGCCTGCGAGAACTTCGGTCTGGTCATCAACACGAAGAAGATGGTGATCATGCATCAACTGCCACCCAACACAGCCCCGCTCCCCAAAGCGCCACAGATCAGCATGAACGGAACCCAACAGCAAGTGGTGGACAGCTTCCCGTATCTGGGCAGTACCCTCTCCAGCAGCACCAAAATCGACGACGAAGTCACCTGCAGAATTTCAAAAGCCAGTCAAGCCTTCAGTCGCCCTCAAAGCACAGTTTTGAATCGTCATGGTCTCCAGCTCTGCACGAAGCTGAAGATGTACAAGGCCGTCATCCTGCCGACGCTGTTGTACGGAGCGGAGACTTGGACAGTGTACACAAAGCAGGCACGCCGACTGAACCACTTCCACCTCAGTTTTCTTCGTCGCATCCTGAGGCTGAGCTGACAGGATTAAATCCCCGACATTGATGTACTGGAGCGAACGGGAATCCTCAATTGCTGAGGCAACTGCAGCTGCGTTGAAGCGGCCACCTGGTGCGCATGGACGACGAGCGACTACCCAAAGGACTCATCTACGAGACATCGCCACGGGTTCCCGTCGCCAAGGAGGCCAAATCCGCCGATACAAGAATACTCTGAAGTCCGCCCTGAAGCGGCAGCAAATCAATCCGCCCAACTGGGAAGACCTCGCCCGTGACCGACCGACCTGGAGAAGGACGGTGACGACTGGAGCTGCCATCCATGAGACCAACCGCATAGACGCCGCCAAAGTCAAACGAGAAGCACGCAAATCATAACTTCGCCCAGTACGCAACGCGGCGCACAACCGTCTCCAACAGGTCCTCGATGTCAACGGACCATCCGGGCACGAATTGGACTTGTTGGACTGCACCACCTGGACCACACCAACCGTCGTCCCTCCGTCCAACTCGTCCTCCAGGCCGCCAACTAACTCTGACTGCTCTTCTGAACTGCCACTTCCATCCTCCTCCTCCTCCTCCTCGTCCTCCTCCACTGCTCCGAGGCCTGCCGTCGTGGCTTCCGCCGCGCACGTCAACACTGCACGCAATCCTGATCCATCCTCAACCGTCAACACCACCAATGTCGACAGCAGAGTTGAGGATCAAAATTACACCTGCCCTCACTTTGATCGCACCTGCACCTCACACATCGGCCTGGTCAGTCACTTGCGAATCCATCGCACAGAGACTGGCGAACCAGTGTCTGGAGCACCAACCTACACCAGCTGCACCTACCTCCACTCTCCACACTGTCCTCGCACTTTCACACATCGCATGGGCCTATTCGGCCCCATGTGCATCCACGAGAGAGGAATTGACCGCAACATCGACACACCCACCCCGCCGAGCCCCACTCCCAATTCATCACCTTGCGCACCCACCACCCACTCCCCAACCGACATCGACGCCACCGACTCTACCACCCCTCACTCGTCCCCGTCCTCCTCCTCTTCCTCCGTCACTGCCACAACGACGATCACTCCGGCGTCTGTAGCGCACGACTTCACCACAGTCGCACCTGACACAACAACGGGCACAACCCGTGCTACCTCCATCATCAGAGGTGAGGGCCAGGACTACAGCTGCCCTCACTGCGATCGCACCTTCACTTCCCGCATCGGCCTGGTCGGTCACTTGTGAATCCATCGCACAGAGTCTGGCGAACCAGTGCCTGGCGCACCAACCTACACCCACCAAGCTCGTCTCCACTGCCCACACTGCCCTCGCACCTTCATGCATCGCATGGGTCTATTCGGCCACATGCGCATCCACGAACACCTGCGGTAGACAACCGTCAGCTGCACCACACCACCACATACTCCCTCACCACCACCTCAGCGCAAATCAGCATCACCAATCACAAGCACCCACCTGCCAGTGGGAAGTGTGCGTCTCGACTCGGTCTCCGTGCGGCCCTGTTGCATGGGCGACTCGAGCCTGAGATCATGCGTCGAAGATAAGAAGGCGGCTGTTTGACACCCCAAGTCAGTCCACGCAGTCCGTCCAGTTGTGCGTGTTTATGTGGAGTAGCGGACTGGTGGACTGGGGACCGGACCGAAACAGCTCCTTCCACAGCACTCTCACGTAATTGAGAGATAAGCCGCTCAACACCCGTTGTGTGAAATCCTGGTGTTTTTGTTTGGGGGGCCAGGTCGTGTATGTGGCGCGCGCAGACAAGGTCAATAGACCGCGTCAGCCACCGCGCCCGTTCTCCGCTGAAGTCAACTGACCTGTTCGGACTGTGACTAAGATGCAGGAATGGGAAGGGAGAGTGAAGTCCACGACTCAGCGCATTTTCCTCCTCACTATAAACAATCTGACTCGCTTTAAGATATCACGGCGCGCTTAAAGCCGCGGCTTGGGAGGTTGCCAACTGACGAGATAACTTGGGCCTCGTGTGCTGCCGTTGTGGATTGGCCGTCTTAGAGTCAGACTGCACTGGCTCCTTCTTAATGTGGCCTATGGCACTCCCACCACAGTGTGGGATCCGAGCCAGGCGTTGGCGCACACCTAGGTACGGCTTCAGCCTTACCAGCCTCCAAATCTGTCTTGTGTTGGTTGAAATCCTGGTCATTTGTTGTGTGGACCAGGGGGTGTGGTGGAACGCCAAGGTGAGGATCCGTCCGAGCCATCCACCTGCGGCCTCCCTCGTCTCCGGTCTTCTTGACTCTGTCTTGACACCGGGCCCAGACGGGCGAGGAGGAGAGAGTGTAGGTAGAGGCAGCGCAAGTCTACTGGCACTATAAACCCCTGCGCAAGTCACCGTCCCTGCTCCCACCGCTGCTGCAGCTATGGGACACACGGTGGACATCGTCGATATCGACGGTCGAACTGTCGTCGTGTGTGTGTGTGTGTGTGTGTGTGTTTTGAATCCACTGCGCCTAATTCCATTGCTATTTTCCTAACAAGGTAAGTCAGTCAACAGGCGCACGGGCGAGGTAATTGAGCGAGACTGCGAAATTCTTTCTCGCGGCGTGTTACAGCAGTACGCAACATAGTACAATTTACACGCTTGAATTATGATCTCGGCTCTCCTCAAGACTGAATGTCCGACCGCAAAGGCCTTATGGCAATGTGACACTGGCATATGATCCAAACCGTCCCCACATGTGCATAGCACATGTAATTTACACCACATACGTGGCGTGCCTAGGCGGGCTGCTTTTGCCTGTCAGCCATTGTGCCCACACCCACCGGCGGTCGTCTTGACTTTGTCTTGCCATCGGTGTCTCGTAGATGAGAATAGTGTCGCAAGTTTTGTTCACCACTGACTTATTCGCGCGCAGTCTACCGCTGCTCGACCCACCTCGTGGGGCAGCGGTGGAGGTTGTTACCTGCAGCAGTTGGGCTGTCGTGTGCGTGGGAAATACGGTCTCTGCCGGCTTCGCTGAGAGTCGCGGTTTCCATCGTTTCAGGTCAGATAACGCGCTTTCGGGTGTTCACTTGTATGAACGTTTTTTGTTCTGCCTGAAACACCTCAGCTCTTGGCGTTTCTGGCATTCGAGGGTCCTCTTCTTGTGGGGTGGGTAGGGGCGGGGGAATTTCGCTAACAGAAACTATGCGCCGCACCACGAAAATTAAATCAAAAAAAGGAATATCGAGAGACTCATTCCACAACTAGGTGAAGAGTGCTGTATGGATTCTGTGGATTGATAGATCAAACAGTTAGAAGCCAAGCAACCTCCCATCATAACCGAACTTGGCGGTTTCATGCTTACCTGCACCGAAACTCATGCCACCCATGCTGAGTTAGTAGCTGTTTTTGATGATCTGCTAAAACTACCTGCTTTCTTTTGAGTAAGGAGGAATTTCCGGAAGAAAGTACAGCTCTGAAATACGCAAAATCTTTTTATCTGAAGGGATGAATTTGAATGAAGCCACTGCAGCTCTATCTTGTCCACAAAACTGCCGATGTACCTACGATCTCACAAATTTTTTTCAGAATACTCCGACTATCCTGGAGACGCGCGCCCACGTTGACCTTGTAAAAGGGCTTGGCGACGGCTGCTTGGTTGGTCTATCGGTGGTTTGACCCCAACCTGCGTACGTCTCGCAATAGTCGAACTCATGTCAGTGCCAACAGTCAGCCGTTTATGCAGCTTGACTGGATAAAAGCAGTACTGTCAACAGGCTCTACGCTTCCGGAGATTTGATAGCGTGGAAGTATTGTGGGCGGCAGTTGTCTAACACCCCTCGTAAAATACTAGGTGCCTTAGGATATGATACCTACCAATTTCTCTCGCTTGAGTACTGGGCAACCCTCATTTCGTTAGAGATCAGAACCATACATAACAGTCTTTTTTGGAAATGGCACAATGAAGCCTAGTCTCTAATGAACTGTGGTTTACTGACAAGGGCGGGGATGACTGGAAATGACCTTGAAACGTATTTTCGCAGGCGTCGTCCAATTATATCCCAGTTGCAGCCTAGGAATAACTAAACATTAGAGATGGGCGAGCTACCTGGGAGTGAAATGACGCACAATGTTCGAAGACTCAGACGATACCCATCTAGTCACGGTAGGTTGGTCGAATAATTTAAGTAAACAGCACACCTTTAGTGACCAATCAGACCCCAAAAGTCCAGATCAGCGAGAAAGGCAGCATCCAGACTGAAAATAAGGGTAGAAATGATGACTTCAGGGGGTTCCTCAATACAGGGCATGTGTTAGCTATGTCGTCTGACCTCGATAATTATGGTACGGTTAATCACATATGCTCTTGTGCGGAAGATTCTTTCAACAGTACATATCGCGAGCCGAAGTTCACCAAAACTGTATTTTATTGAAATGAGATAAGGCACCTGGTCGAGCGTTTCTGCCGATAGAATCTCTCTGTTCAACACGGCAAACAGTCGTAACGTCATGCGGCAGAAGCTATATCACAGGTTTTCCCCCAACTAACGTCTCACGCTTCGATCGGGGATTTCTTATTTGAAAAGGTCGAGCCGTACTGATGATCGGTACTAGTCGCAGAGTAATTTTTTGCCCCCGTCCCCTACGTACTACGAAATCTTAATCCGGCTTTGGTCCATTCTCCTCAATCTTTTCTGATGAAAGTTCACCTTACTCAGGCATTTCTGGTACTCAGTCGTCTGGAAAGTGGTGCTCTCCGACTTGGCTATCATTGCTAGGCGTCCTCATGCCACTAGTTCGTATGGTTCACATTGCATAGACTGAGCCTCTAGCGCCTTGAATTATGGGGTTAGTTACTTAAGTGGACAACTGCTCAGGCACGCCGCCGCCACTGCCGAAGACCATCCCGGCGTTCACATCCACGGGCGTTGGGATTAGCGCCTACTCACTGTTGCTCTCCTTGTCGCCGCAGGTCCTCCGCAGCTCTCGCTGATTGGTAGAGCGGTATCGTGACCCTAACCCTCCTCTAACCCGCGCTGGTCAAACACTTCGGCCAGCGTTCGCTGCCCTGTCAACCTAGTCCTTATAGCTTGCTAACAATCAGTGAATGGGTTCATTCGGTAGGTATAATAGTCAGTCAGCCATTGTCAGTGAATTTGAGGGAAGCAGGCTTACGCCTTTGAGCTCCCTATTTGTACATAAGAAATCAAGAAAATAAGCAAAAATGTGAAGACATTACAGTATTAAGTGAATGCAGACATTGATTCACATGGGTCACTGGTTTTATGTTTACAAAGTCACATAGTCCGCTTGTTGCTGCAGCATATGTTTGTCAAGCCGACATTTAAATGTCTCCACAGATTGTGACATAACAATCGTTTCGGACAGGTTATTTCACGGTTCCACGACACGGTTGGAGAAAAAATAATTTCTCCCATTCAATCTACCTTGGGGCACACGTAGTTTGAGGGGGTGTCCTCGGAAGTTAGTTGAAAACAGGCCTCTCTCCGACCTTATACATGCCCAGCTTATGCAGGCCGATTTGTGACTCCAATAGGCTGACGGAATCTGATTTTTTGAAAGAGAGTAAAGTAACGGTCTGATAGGGGGACGGGCGAGACAATTCTGAGTAGCCTGGGATTATGAGTCAACATTGTTGACGTACTTGCTTCTTATCAGTAGGCGTGCTTTTATTAAGTTACATATTTCAGGGACATATTTCACCGACGTTTTTGGTTATGTTTTTAAACTAAGATCTCGCTTAGCCTAGGAAACCTTAGTGAGGAAACCCGATGGTTTGGGATTCATACCGAATCTCCTTCAAGTCCATGAACACCGAAAGACAAAAGGCTCACTCACAAAAAACTTCTGCACTAGGGTACTTTTGGTTCAGAGCTCATTCTATGACTTACTTCAAACACTGTAACCGTGCCTGTTCACGCAGACGTACGGTGAACCAAGCAAGCAATGAAATTTCTAAACAAAAATTGAGAAAGTCTCCTGACTGTGAGTGCGAGGCTGGCATCGCCTAACACAACAATCGACATTACATTCTAAAGAGTTCTCTGTCTTTTCGGGTCCATCGCTTTCTTCAAACAATAGGTATTTGTGTTGAGGTAGGTGGATAGGACAACCTTAGTCTAGAGACGCGGTGACTGTTCTGCCCTGTCAACACAAGATTTCTTTTTGTTCAGTAAAAATGCTCGAGTATTAAATTGTGAAGTCGAGACCTTCAGCACCGACCAGTCCTGTATGAGTATCTTACAAGTGACAGAGGCCGAAAACAATTTTTCCAGTACTTTTCAGTACGGTCGAAGGTTGGGCATTTCCACTGAGATCAAACAAGCGTATGCTCCTAAATAGAGGATATCATACAGTCTTGAGGGTATCATACAATCGAGTCTGCTTTCGTCTCTGATGATGGGTTCGAGCAGGAATCCGAAACGTCGGGCTAATAAAGCTCTTGTCCCAGCGATCGTGCCTCTTTCTTCGAGAGTACTTCCTGGGACATGTCTCTTCGCTTCTATTGACATCATACAATTTTAGTTTAAACATTTGGTCGAATCTTATTTTGTTGCCGTACCTGCAGTAGACATGCCCCAGCCTAACCCTTGACCTCAACCCCTAAACCATAACCTTCAACACTAACCCTAACCCCAACCCTAACCCCTGGCAGGTACGACTCAAAAATAAGACCATGTCAAATACTTACAATCAAGAGCATACTCTCGAGTTTGTTAGCATGCTTTACTTTGTTGTCATTCGATCTAGAATCACAAAAAGGGCACGCATCCTGAAAAGCTATCCAAGCAGTGCAACTTAAGTGTCCTACCGAAGAGTTGTAGGCAGCCAGTCACAGGGACATCCGGGTGTGCTTGTCTGACAGTCAAAGTCCCCAATAAGAAACGGAACTCCTAGAATGTATGCGTCGCACTGATGGGGTTTGCATGTCACAACAACTAAAGTCATCAACACGCTCTAACCCCTACGACCCTCAGATCAGGTTCCGACTACAAGGAGAATGCGTATCAGTAGAAGGATAATTGTATTCGCTGTAAAATGGAGGAAGAATATGCATGCGTTTATAACAAGTTGGTAGCCGGGCGCTAAGAGGGCGTTCCTATACCGCTGGCGCTGGCGTCTGTGTTCTCAATAAGAGCGTTTCCAATTCCGTCTCAAACTTGTTTGTCAAATTATAATGGCCGTGACTGCAGCGACATCATGCAGAACTTCGTGGTGCCAGGAACTGTCCGAACCCGATGAGCACAGTCATACATATCCTCACGTTATCAACCAACAACCCCAACTCGGATTCTGTGTGATATCAACTGCTACCCATAAACATGGTGTGTCCCACAACCAGAGATCAGGGAGACAAACTGGACGGATAGGCCTTAGCTCAGGAAAATGCAGACAACGACCTTTTTAGCTTGCCAGAACAAAATAATGACCGGGTAGGGATAACTTTTACTGCTGCCAACTGGACATCCAGTCACGTGTGTGGTTTGTGTAGGCCAGACGCGTGTCAAGGCCTAGGTGCAGCTCGGGAGCTCTGTGCGAATCCGCCATGATGCAACCGGTTTTGACGCACGAAAGACATGCTGTGCCTAAAACGGGCCAGCCGCTAGACCAAGATGGGACCACATCGGATTCTGGCAGGCGTTATTGGGAATGCGCACGCATAAAAAATGCCGGTCTCGGGCGTGCGTCGGAACTTCCAGATGCAGACCCGCGTGGCGTCATTTAGGATTCGAATTGCTTCCGGCTTTTTTCTTGTGTAAAATCTCGGTCACTTGTGAACCATGGCGTGGGATGGTACGTCTAAGTGTGAGTTTTTGCCCTGCCAGCCACCTGCACCCCCTTCCGCCTTCGGCCTTCTTGACTCTGTCATGCACCGGGCTCAGGTGAGGGAAGAGAACGGGGTGCGGGAGATGCTGCGCAAGTCTATCGTCATTATAAACGAACTCACACGCAAGTCATCGTCTCTGCTCACTGTTTTGTGTGCAACACGGTGGGCATAGTCGGAAACGACGGTCGAACTCTCGAGGTCAAACAAAGTTAGTTTAAATCTGCGAAGGCCGGCACTTGATTTGTGGACAATAGGAAACAGCAGATGGACAACACTACTACTAAAAATTCGAGGCGCGTTTAACCCTTTCTCGAAAGGGGTTCAACCAATTATTTTATTCTCGTGAATTGTCAGCATTATTAAACCGCTGGTAAAATGACACCAAATCGCCTTATTAAATTCTGCTAACGGGGGTGCGTACTTAAATCATGTACTATTACTTGGCGTCTCGGAGCTATGGTAACTTCTCCGACGTTGCGAATCGCGGTCCACGAAGTGCCCTCGAAGGCAACAGTCGTCATTTCGGGGCTTCTCTGGAGGCTTGTCGGAAGTCGTGTGGTCGACAAGATAAAGATTCCCAATCAAAAGTCAGGGAAGACGGTTTGAGTTGGACAACCTTTACTGCCTGAGGAAGTGCGTACACAAGGGCTCTGTAGGCACTTGCCGCGAGCGCGCTCCAAGCAAGCTTTGTCTGTGTCCGCCTTCGAGGTGTTGTCAGCGCGTGTGTGCGCCTCTCGTTGTCTCCACGTCCGCCGGCCAATCAGAGTGGGGACAGCGCTGATTGGCTTCGAGCACTCGCGCGTCCCAACAGCGTATCGACACGGAGTGTGAGGCGGACAGGGCGGCAGCGTCAGTTGGGATTCGAGCTGCCCCCAGCTTTTTTCTTGTGTAAAATCCTGGTCAGTTGTGAGTTGTGGACCAGGGAGTCGGATGGTACGTCTAGGTGCGGGTTTTTGCCCTGCCAGCCACCTGCACCCCCTTCCGCCTTCGGTCTTCTTGACTCTGTCATGCACCCGGCTCAGGTGAGGGAAGAGGAGGCGGTGCGGGAGATGCTACACAAGTCTGTCGTCATTATAAACGAATTCAAGCGTAAGTCACCGTCTCTATTCACTGTCTTGTGAAGAACAAGGTGGGCATCGTCGGAAACCACGGTTGAACTCTCGAGGTCAAACAAAGTTTGTTTTAATCTGCGAAGCCCGGCACTTGGTTTGCGGACACTGGCAAACAGCAAATGGACAAAATTACTACTAAAAATTCGAGGCGCGTCTAACCTTTTCTCGAAAGGAGTTCAACCAATTATTTTATTCTTGTGAATTGTCCGCATTATTAAACCGCTGGTAAAATGACACCATGTCGCCTTATTAAACTCTGCTAACGGGGGTGCGTACTTAAATCATGCACTATTACTTGGCGTCTCGGAGCTATGGTAACTTCTCCGACGTTGGGAATCGAGGTCCACGGAGTGCCCTGGAAGGCAACAGTCGTCATTTTGGGGCTTCTCTGGAGGCCTACGCCAGTTGTTCCCTCTTGATCACACACACAAGAACAATGCGGCTAAAAGAGGACTACTTATCGAGCTGCGTACCAAATCCAGGTCACACAGCCCGCATAATCTTAGTAAGATCGGTGTGACTAGGGTGATAACCTTCTTCGGTTGTTCATTGGCTCATGCCTAACCAACCTTTACGGTCATACACCTAGGTATACACCTGCTGTTCGCTGTTGTTCATTGGCCGCCTAATCAACTTTTTAGGACGACTTCGCCGTTATTGCGTCCATGCGCCCGCTGTTCGCGTAGATGTCGACTTCGCGTGTGTCCTTCCAATCGAGACGGAAAATGAGACACGTAAGTTAGGCGGCTCGACTGTGCTGCCTGCAGCACGAGCAGAAAAGAGCAGATAAAGTGGCTGCAGAAGCACAGTTTTATGCATTTGTGTATACCTTTTCATGTTTACAGAGACTGTGCTTCACTTTCAAGCTGTCATTTTAGAACTTTAGAGGTGCCGTAATTAAATTTCCCCGCGCCCATATGGGTAACAGCAAGAAGAGCTGATTTTTAAGTAAAACATATACTGCCATCGACTGATGACCATTTACAGGACGAAAATAGGCATTGCAGTATTCTCCAGAGTTCCGTGTCCAGGGGCTAATAGGACTGTTGCACATTGTCGGGATCTCTTGCCAACAAAAATTAGTTATATTGTAATGCTCTTTCCTGGATTAATAACCCCAATTGTTGGCGCTCCCAGGGTTAGAACCAGCGTCCAGTGAGTCATAAGACAATTTGGTTTGTCTATCAATCTCCCTGAGAGACCGGGTTCGTTCTCCACTGGCCTCGTGGCATTCTCACCTATCTGAGACTTGAGCCGTCCTTACTGTAGCCCCGTGCGTGCAGCGGGGGCCATGTTGTGTGTGGCGCGGGCAGACGGACCGTGTGGCTTTCACGACCACTGCATCGGCGCTCAGTTCAGGTCGTGTGTTACACTTCTCTTGACGTGCGGCAAGTGCCTCGTCGTAAAATAAATCCCGAGCAAGTCACCCCGTTGTGCGACGAAGTCTGTGATTTGGTTTTAAACGGCCATCCAGCGCCTCCCACAAATATGTGTGGGTGACTACTTTTATTTGGAATTGTGTAGATACTAAGGCGGGGTGCCGACCGTGGAAGTTAGCTTTTGCACGCTAGAGCAGGAGACGTGTAGCTTGAACGAGGGTTCATAGGACCGACTAAAAACTCCAACCGTATCAATAAACCAGTAAAAACGTCTTCCGTTAATATGACCTACCATGTCGTCGTTTGGAGGCTTAAATCAAATTGAGAAATTGGCCGAACAAGAATTAGGCTATTTGACTTGCCTTAGACTTAGCTGTATAAATTACTATCCTGTTCGCACTCTCAAACCATAAACATAAACCAGGATCTAGTACACCCACCCCGGGTAATTGCTAAAACACTGCTACCTCTCGCGCGTGTGAGCGCGCGGCTTGCCCGCCCATACCAGGGGCAGTCTGATTTTTTGGCCAATCACAGCTATCCAAACTGGCCAATCAACTTCCAGCCGGACTCAGACATACCTTTTTACAAGGCGCTCCGACGCCTGTTGCTCGGTTGTTAGAGACGTTGGACTTCTAGCCAGCAGGTCGCGGGATAGAGCCCCAGGAGTTGGGTAGGGCTGGCTGACGATAGCTTATAAACCAGAAATGGCCATTCCAGTCTCCTTTGTCTTTCTTGGTAATGCCACTCTGCCAGTAAAAAGAGAATGCTGAGTAGTCTCTCGCGTCGAAGACGTGCCTGCAATATTTCAGAGGAAGAGTTGCGGACGCAGTTCTACCAATCGGTCACATCTAATAACAGGCTTCTTTGCTCTGCGTATTCCCTGTTGCCTATATGTCATTTGAAAAATGCCTGATTTTTGCACATACGCTTTGTGTCATGTGCCTGCCGCACTGTCTTTGGTCGTTTGTTCATTGTGATGTCGACGTTGTGCCGCAAACGCTTTTTTTTACCAAGGACAACTCAAACCTTCGAATTACATACACAAGCCTACAACTGCATGCAATTGACATGTGATCGACTTGGACTTCAAATGCACACGGGCATTTGTTCCGACTAAAACAAGCACGTGCCCTGCAACCGAATTTCGCCAGCACTACCACACAACTGTGGACAACTCGATGTTAGATCAGCTGTGGTCGTAGAAAAAGGTAGACTCGTGTGATCCAAGAGATTTCCGGATTTAGGAGAAAAACAATCTCACTGGCTGCAAATAAATGACTGCCACGGCATGGATGGGAGTGGGACTATATGCCGACTAATCAGTCTAACAACTGGGGAAGTATGAGTCTTATCTAAGCTCGGTTACACTGACCGACAAATATGCGAGCGCACCTACGTGGTTTTGGGTTTGTGGGGACCAATATCTGGCTAAGTAGTCACCGCCGATGCATATTGGCGATGAGAAATCAATGAGATACAGTTACGTGGCGAGTGCTTAAAAGGTGAAAAATCTTCGTACGTGATTCCAACCTCTTATTGAGTGATAGCAACCTCCGCGTTCTTTCAGAGTAGCCGATCAAGTACGGGTGAGAATTTACGCGTAAGAAGATTCAGGTACCAGACAAAATGCCCTGCGACTTGTTGCCTAAACCTCTGACTTTTGGAAATGCCAGAAGTTCCTGAGGAACACATGACCGGCATAAATGGCTCAGTCAGTCAGTTTTTACGCAAATTTTGCTGAGAGGGAAACAGCCTGCTGAACCAGTTTGATGGAAATTGAATTGCTGCGTCTCCCAAGATAAGTTGCCAAACATTATCCCACGTGATCGCAGTTGGAGGCCAATCTTCTTGCAATTATTTGTGGTGCAATGCCTTGAAATCTTTATGTTCAGCCGGTATTTGAGAGCTGCAGCCGAAATGAAATCTGACTTCCTGATCACTTCAGGCTGAATGCGAATAAAGACAGCAAATACATTTCATGCGCAAAGGGCCTGCCCGGACATGAGAGTTCTTTAAAGCACACTTTTCTGACGACTGCAGAGGCCGGCCTTGATTTTCACTTGGTTTAGGTCCCAGCGAAAAATTAAGAACTCCCGGCGACAGAGGAGCCTGCGTCTTAGAAAAGGGGTGCACCTGGTGTTGGTCATGCGGTACTGCACTTTCATGAAACCGTCCATATTTTGGCTCAGACCCATCTGCGCTTCTCATGTGTACGCACCTCAGCGGCTGCGCGGTTCTGTGGCCTTTCCTGTCGTCACCATGATGTCCCACCTGGTTCAGGCTCTAGATCAATTAGTTGATTGGTAGAACAGTGGGGTTGGCTAAGCAGTGGCCATTACCACCTCCATGCACCCAGGTACCCAATGAAGTTACCCTTTCGGTTCCTTCTGAACTACTAATTTCGTCGGTGGGTGCTACTATACTCTAAGCACATACAAGGACAGCTCTTCTTTTGATGGAACAGCGAGCTCGTCCAGTATGATGCATTGACGCCGTCTATAACGCAACAGTTCGACCGCCGTTGCCGACGATGTCCACCGTGCGCTCCACAACAAGGTGCAGCAGACACGATTACTTGCGCGTGAATTAGTTTATAGTGATTGTAGACTTGCTTACTATCTGCCGCAGTCTGTCCTCCCTTCCTGGACCCGGTGTCAAGACAGAGTTAAGAATACCGGAAGCGGGGGGAGCGCAGGTGAATAGCACGTCTGAGCCCGCACCTTAGCGTTCCACTCCACATCCCTTGGCCTACACAGCAAATGACCAGTTTTTTTGGCCATCAACAACAACAACACACCAACAGGAGTCAGAAGAACGAGGATGATGACTGGACAGCAACGCCCGCCACCTGTATATCCAACGGGGGCGTACGCGCATCTACTGGCAGGGAACCAACTGTCAGCGCATTCCAGGTCGCGAGGGCTATGGTTTGCTGATACTGACATATCACACGCTTTCAGACCTTTTGCGCAAGCAATAAAACTACAATTACAAAGAGGTAAAGAGATGGTCTATAATCTTTTCAGAGAGACGCAGGTGGCCTTCAGGGAGTGTGCAAATAGAAATCAGCAAAACGTATCAAATAATAGCAGGTAGATAGGTAAATGGACTTTCCGTTTTCACGATCGGCCAACGAGCGTTCATGGCCGATCCTAAGCGACCCTCGACAAATCAGCGGAGGGTATTTATTAAATATAAGATTTAAACCATCCAGGGGAGGCATTCAACGCCCTTAAGAAAGTCGAATTAACACGATTGGAACAAACTGCTGAGACTACTCACCATTCCACAGCGCTGATCGGAAGTCAGAGAGAGAAAGTTGGTTGAACAACATTTGCTGATTTGGAGTGCTCAAGCGGTCGGGAGTGAACATTGTCAGGGTATGCTGCTTGCGTCGGCCAAGGGCACGCTGACGTCAGAATACTGATTTCACAATCAGGGAGTAGTCTGGAAAATGGCTGCACACGAACGCATCTACTGCTTTTTATCATCCCCACTACCCACCTGGACCCGGTGTCAAGACAGAGTCAAGAAGACAGGAGGCGGGAAGCGCAGGTGGATAGCACGGTCGAGCCGCACCTTGGCGTCCCACTCCACACCCCATACAGCAAATGACCAGGTTATTGACCAACAACGAAAAAAGCAGCAACAACAACTACAACACCCAAAAGGAGTCAGAAGAACCAGGACAATGGCTGAACAGCTTTGCCCACCACCTGTGTACCCAGCGGGAACGCACGCGCATATACCAACAGGGAACTAGGTCTCAGGGAACTGTCAGCGCATTCCAGGCTGCGAGAGCCATGGTTTGCTTATACTGGCATAGCACACGCTTTCAGGCACTTTCGGTTGCTTCTGAACTACTGATTTCATGGGTGGGCACTGTTATACTCTAATCGCATAGAGGGACAGCCCTTCTTTTGACTGGACAGCGATCTAGTCCAGTATGGTGCGTTGACGTCGTCAATAAAACTACAATTACAAAGACTTAAACCAGTGGTCTGTAAGCTTTTGGAAGGGACGCAAGTGAACCCCAGGGATTGTGTCAATGAAACCATCAAAATGTATGAAAGAATTGCAGGTAAATAAATAGATGGACTTTCCATTTACGCGATCGACCAGCGAGAGTTCATGGCCGACTCCAAGCGACTCTCGACCATTCAGTGGGGGTATGTGTTAAATATCACGTGTAAACCATCCAGAGGAGGCATTCAACGCCCTGACAAAAGGCGAATTAACACGACTTGGAACAGGCTGTTGAGATTGAGATCGACGGCTACTCGCCATTGCTCTGCGTTACTTGGCCGGAAGTCAGAGGGACAAAGTTGGTTGAACAACTTTGTTGATTCGGAGTGCTCAAGCGACCGATAGTTAGCGTTATCAGGGTATGCTGCTTGCGTCGGCCAGGAGCGCGCTTACGTCAGAATACTGGTCTCTCAATCAGGGAGTAGCCTCAAGAATGGCTGCGCATGGATGCAATACTCAATGCGTTCGACCGGGGAGTCAGGTATGGTCAGGCAGTGACTGGATTTCCCATCAAATGCGCAGACAACTCCATCGTTGAAACAGAGTAAGTGGGGCAAGTGTCCTGCTGGCGAGTTCTCAGCCAAGATGCCTGTTTGCATTTCACCCGCCCTGAATTCCATGCTGTGGAACTGTTTTTTCGGGTTCGGGGTTAGCATGGGTTTGCGTTTCCATAGTGTTTTGTATAAATGAAGAAGAAGAGGGGTCGAGCACCGGAACACTATTATTCTGAGCTTTCGAAGTCGTGCAGGAGTCCAACGTCAGAGATAGTAGGAGCAACAGAACAAACGACATTTTATAGGACGTGTAAGTCAATTATCAGCCGGCGACGCAAAACTCGAGGTGACTGCGTAGGACTCTGTAAGCCGACGCAAGATGGATAAATCGATGGACTGAGTTCTCATCTGGGGTCCAGGCTTGAATCAATTCTCGGCCTGTTTTGTGGACGACTATTTCGGTGGCTGCGAAGTTAGACTCGTGACCCGTTTCGTAGGTGTGGGAGGCCACTTGTGATGATGTGCCGTCTCGTCGCACAGCCAGCTTATGTTCATGTATGCGCGATCCGAGCATGCGTCCGGTCTGGCTTGTGTGGTTAGAAGGACAGTTTTGGCTCAGGATGCGATACACTACTCCAGATTACTCCTCAGGTTTTACCCGGTTTTTATTTTTCATGACCCTTCTGCGCATGGTGCCTTTGGGGCGGTGCGCAATTCCAACACCTTACTCAGCAGCAATGCGCTCGGTTGCTTCGGAAACGTCCTTGATGCATGGCAGGGAGTGCCATATCGTTGGTAGTATTCGTGTTTGAGTCCTCTGGGGGGCGGCCGCGTAGGCAGCGACTTATGCATGCCTTGCGCCGTCTGTCGATGATTGGCTTACACGCCCTATAAATGTCGCTCGTTCTGTTGCTGCAACAATCTCTGAAGATGGACTCCTGCACGAGCTCGAAAGCTCAGAGCAACAAACAAAGTGCTCCTGTGCTCGACCCCTCTTCCTCTTCATTTATGCCCGCACGTGGAACTCGAATTTTCGCCTCATAGTGTTTTGCTTCAGTGTGCTAAAAAGGTTGCAATGGCGGATGTCACACTTTCGGAATAATGACTCTCCTGACACGCTACCGTTTCATTTTTTTATCTTTAGCCTGGCTCTGTCAAAACAGTTTCACATTTACCAACGAAGTTCTCCACGGCTGCTCATCGGCTCTGTTTCTGTTGACGATCTGGTGGTTGTCAGCTCCAAATACTCCCTGATACCTTCGTATATGCCTGTTTGGTTAAACAAACTTGACGTTCTGATTAATGCGCCTAAGTGCATTTTGTGGCGTTACCTCACACCCCCTCGGACAGAGTGTAGACTCTCCCGGCTGTCACTGCGTGGACGCCATGGCTCACCCCAACTCGCGAGTTCACCACTTCCACGTCCTCCCCACAACTGTGTCGTTTTACTAACTGTCAGTTTTTATCGCCTTTTACTTCTCCACGGCATTAAGTCGATGCTATCTCTCGCTAACCTTTTCTGTGCGGACGTAAGTGTCCTTCCTCAGCACCTAACTAAAGCGCCACTCACCCCTGCTGCTGCTGCTGCTGCTGCTGCTGCTGCTGCTGCTGCTGTTGCTGCTGCTGCTGGCTAGGATCGTTGCAATCCCTCAACAACAGATCCCGAGGAGCATCTCATCCCTGGCCTTCTCTTCCGCCAGCTTAACATTCCCACGAACTCGCTGTGGTACATTGTAGTCGAGACCTTATTGCTGTCTACTTGCCCGTTAAATAATTTCTTAATCATGCAGAGAACAGCAGCTTTTGTTATTTAAGCATCATATACATTTTTCGCCCCCTCTGACATGCACACTTTATTTCTTTCCAAATAAATTATCAACATTTATTTCCAGCCGGGTAGCCGTTTGACTTTCCCTTCCTTCCTTCGAGTTGAAACACATGAACGAATCGCATTGGTAGCAGCAAATCACTTCAAGCGGGAAACTAGCACGTTTAATTCAGGGGACCATGGTCATCCTGCTTTCCTCTGGTGTGACATGTGGGTTCGCTGCCAATCTACAGTAGGTGGGCTAACTCACGAAATGTCATCCGAAATCCCGAAATGCGTTTTCATTTCGAAAATATTAATTAAGTAGGGTTGTAAAACTAGTCAGCCTGCAACATAATTCTATAATTTTTCAGTTACCGCAGGGTGCCGGCTTTCGAATGTACTTTCTTCCGGCTGCATGCAAAAACTAAACTCTATAAAAAATGACTACTAGAAGGATAAATATATTTCGGTTTTATAAAGTTTCTTATTGTGGGACTTTTAAATACCGTGAAATGGCCGTTCATAAATCGTCATGCCCCTCCATTTACCAATGTGGCTTGTAAAGTTCACAGCATGGATCAAATCCACTGCTTAATTTTATGAAGCCTATATGGTCCCCCTAATTACCGTAGAGTACTGTGTGATTTTCTGTACGCCGAAAATATACGACTCGTAGATTAAAAACCCTGAATCCAGGTGTAACGGTAAAGCGGGTTCAAAATTATTCGAGAATTGGAAAGCTTTTTGAAAACCAAATCGTACCCTTTCTTCGAGTATAAGATTGGAAGCAGGCGTAATCTTCTACTGAATGAGCAAAGAAATGAATTTTTTGTACATGTTTTCTGTGAAATATAATTGAATTTCTAAAGGGACTGAAAATCAATGAGAAAAATTCATGTTATATAAGTAGTCGTTTTTTACAGAGTGTAGTTTTTGCATGCAGCCGGAAGGAAGTTCATTCGAAAGCCGGCATCCTGAGGTAACTGAATGATTATAGAATTATGTTGCGGGCTGACTAGTTTTACAACCCTACATCATTAATCTTTTCGAAACGGAAACGCATTTCGGAATTTCGGTTGTGCTGGAGAAGGTGTGCTGAGATGTTTTTACTCTGACATCTGGGACTCCCACTCCCCCGCCAGTGAATATTACGCAGGGCCTAGCAAGAACACTCACAGTCGTTAGCAAACCAGCCCTCGCCTGGCCTCTCGGACGGCTAAAGTTAGACGACTCAACGGCCCACTTCCCTGGGGCAGGTTTTGATCCCCTGGACGTTGACCCTGTTAGGCCTTGACTAGCGGCCGGTTATTTTCACTATCTGTTCAATACGACTGAACGTTTCGCGTGATGACCACTCAAGATATTTTTGTGGGCACCGTTGATAGTGCCCTTCAGTATTAACGAGTATTTCACCATGTTGCCCCCATCAACCACTTCTACTGACTGAGGTCAGAAAGTTATTCTCAAACTTTTTATCCACTTTCTTAGGTGCTACAGTTTGCTAACGACAGCACACCATTCCCAGTCATTCCGCTCAATCAAGCGCTTGTACTGGCAGCTTAAAGCCGTGCTGCGATCCTACAGCTAACACACGAACGTGACGAACATTTGGCGTCATCGCATTTGGAACACGTACAGCTCTGAAATCCCCTTTTAGAGTGGTCTCTGTTGCATTCCTTGACGGTCCCAAAAGTTGGTAGACGCGGACAAAATGACTTTTATGCAATGTTTCTGCTGCGCAAAGGCTTTCCCCTGAGTCATTCTTCTACGCGATCTGGCGATTAAGTCATATATAATGGTAGGGGATGCTCACCGATCGTTCTTACGGAACTCACTCGTTCCGTTGGGCTTTACGGGCTCTCTCTCGAGTCCAAACAGCAGCCGCAGAGTGGCGCATGATATAGGCAGAGTAGCATTACCGACAAAGACAAGGGAGATTGGAATGGCCATTTCTGGCTTATTAGCCGTCGTCAGCCAGTCATACCCTACCCCTAAGTGTGGAACACCCGAGGCTCGAACTCGCGACCTATTGGTTAGAAGTCCACGCCTCTAACCACTGGGCCACGAGCCCGTTGCCCTGTCGGTTTCGATCGGGTGGTCCACACTTCGGGGTTGGTTATGACTGGCTGACGACGGATAATAGGACGGAAATGGCCATTCCAGTCTCCCTTGTCTTTGTCGGTAATGCCATTCTGCCTAAGTCATATATTGACTCTAAAATGCTGGCCTGCGCTTTTTGGTTTTTGGCAATAAATAACGCCCACGAATCACCGTAAGTAGCATTTGCTAGGTCCCCCCACGTCTTCTAGCTTATCACTACTCACTTCACAAGTTCCTGTGACGATGACATTGAGATGCTTTCAATCAACCTTCCACACGAGGCTCATCGTTTTCTTCTCTGGTTGAGACCTCGCCAACCGTGCGGTGTCTCCCACTCGCATCATCCATCCCTGTTAGACCCGGAGATCTTGTATCAGTCTGCTTCCGCAATCGCCAGTGCGGTCGCTTTTTCACATCGCCCTTCTGTCTGTCTCATCTCCCTGTCAGTCGATGAATTCGCCTGCGCAGTACTTGACGCCAGCCTGGCGGGAGCTCGAAGCCAATCGCCGTGGCATCCTACTCCGATTGGCTGCAGGCAAATAAAATCAGGGTCAATGGTCTTAACTGTTCACACTCGCCTGAAGAGACAGCTTGCCTTAACTACTTGTGCAGTCTTTAGCCGCAGCAGAGCTTGTCCGACCTCAACTCTTCTACCTGACTTGTGAACCCTGCAGCTTGGTATGCGCTGGCAGTTCCCTGACACCTGATTCCCTGCAGGTAGATTCGCGTGCGCTCCCGCTGGGTATGCAGGTGTTGGGCTTGGCTGCGCAGTCATCATCCTCTTTCTTCTGGCCCCTGTTGGGTGTTGTTGGTAAAAAATTCTGGTCAAGTATGCGTTATGGACCAGGGAGTGTGATGGCACGCCTAGGCACGGGTCCGACTGTGCGAGCAACCTGCGCCCTCTCCCGCCTCCGGCCTTCTTGTCTCTGTCATGGCACCGGGTCCAGGTGAGGTGTGGGGAAGAGAGAGTGCGGTAGATGCTGCGCAAGACTATTATCATTATAGGTTAATTAACGCGTAAGTCACCGTGCCTGCTACATCTTGCTGTGTAGCATACGGTGAACATCGTCGAAACCGACGGTAGACCTATCATGTGATAAGAGTCATTAACATAGTATCAACAAGACCTAGCGGTTTGAGGGTGGGGCAAGTGGTGAGGTTGACAAGTATGACGTGCACTGAGGTAGACATGGAGATTACTAATGTTCCTACTGGAGCGTCAAATCTCTAGAAATTTTTGAAATTGTTTGGTGGAGACCGCGCCGATCACTTTATGGCATTCCATTAGCAACGCGGGCACTTTCAAATGAGTTCATTTGGCTTCCGGTAATGAAGGCCGATTTTTGAAGAAGAAGAAGAAGAAGAAGAAGAAGAAGAAGAAGAAGAAGTGGAAGTGGAAGCTTTTGTGTGCTGATTAACTCATACTTCGTTGTTGGATGCGGAGACGGCAATGTGATCAGCGTGCGTTGTTTTCGTAATTACTGAAATCTGCGTGTCGTAAAGGCTCTCGACTAACAGTGCTACCCCTTGAGGTCCAACTGTGAAGTGATCATTTACTTTGGATTCATTTGCCTCAGCAGCCAATACAATGTACCATAAAAGCACGAACTGCCCCATCTGCTCGAAGGTGATGTTCAGTTTCACGCAGCAGACCCCACACCCCAAAAGTTCACAATTAGCAGCCCAGTGAGGGGGAACAAGATAGTTGATGCTTAGTCCGGTCTCGCGTCTAGACGAGATGACTATGACCGTTGTTCCATGTCTAGATGATGTGAGTTCATCCAAGCCACCTAAACCCAATGCAATGTCCCAGTTGGAAGGGAGGAGTAGGACAACAATCATTAGGGTGTGCATTTTTTTCAACCAGGCTGAAATTCAGTTCCAAGAGGGCCGACACAGCCAGACTGGCGTACAATTCAGTCAGCTAAGCCAGCGACTTCCGGCGAGTCTGAGCACATGACCGCAAGCCTCGGAAGTGATTATTCACGCATGAATGCCTGTGATGGCCTGGAGACGAGAAGGGTGAACAACGCTGACGCGAGTGCGGTGTGCAAGCGCTGACATCCGTTTGCTGCTAGAAATGCGAGAGCGAGAGAGTTTTAGAAGGAGACGCGGGCTCCAGTTAGTATGCGCTTGGACCCGATCCCCCTGAAAATTTGCAGTGCTCGGTCCGGAGTCGGTGCACGCTGCTCCAGTAACTTCACGAAACAAACAAGCTCCCAACGGGTGACAAAGTTCGCGAACAGGCAACCAACTAATTGACGAATCCGATCAAGTTACAATATGGGGGGGGGGGTGATGCAGAATGTGAGCGGATTGGTGCAGAACTGTTCCGGACATACTCCGTCTTCACTCGGCCAATCATAGCCCTGACCAGTAGCTGCAACCAGAAACCCAAACGTGCGTTCGAGCACGGCGCAGATGATCCACAAACAGGGTCCAACAGACTGGTCATAAACACTTCATCGAAAAGCAGCCCATCAATCTTTTGCCACCTAAATGAAGGCTGGATAAGACGGAAACAATACTCTATCAGTTTTGCCTCATTCTCGGCCGTCTCCCTCCCCCTCCTCTGCAGTTGCAGTATATTCAAATAGCTGATACACAGACGGTAGGGGAGCTTGGAAGCAGAGAGATTTCGTTTGTATCTTGCTCCCAAACACTATCTCTCATTCCTAGTGCAAAGAACCTCGCCTGGCCATGACTTTAAACTGGCCTGACTTG